CCCATGAAATGCCACGTTTCGGGGTCACGATGCCACTAAAGATTGGATTATTTTTTCGGCTCGTTTCTGTCTCATTAATATTGATTCCTTTTTTTCGATTTCGCTGTATAGTTTTGTTTGCTTCATTGAACAAAATATACCAATAGATTCAAATTTAATTGATGAATCAGTGCATTGTTACATGCCATATAAATGAATCAGGTGGGATTTGTGTTAGCATTCAGACTCAGTGGAACAAAGTAAGCTAATAGTGTGCATACATAAATTTTCTTTTCCATGTGGAGGAGGAGAGGAGTGAAGGAGTTGAGATCAGAGATGATGAATCCATCAGCGCGTGTGCAGGAGTTTGATGGATTGTTGCATCATGAAATTACTTGGGGAGGTATTCATCAAACAGTAGATAGATGTCTGATGATGATGAAGAAGAAAGTTAACAATTTTATATTTTGGTTCCTCATATTGGGAGGTTTTTTGGTTAGCAGTGCTCAGCAGCAAACAATAAAATATCTGGATTACAGCCACTTCCCGTGAATTAGCATCTAATAATATATATATTTAAAAAAACTTTTCTAAAAACACGCTTTTCCATCCAGCAGTAGATCGATGGTCACATCATAAACATGAATGTACTGTAGTAATGGAAGAACTCCACGGTTCCAGGAAGTGGCCCCGAAGCTTGCCATAACGTAAGGGACTGTGGGCAATTACAGCCAACGTTAGTTGACCGTGGACAATTAGACCAAAGCCGAAACATAACATATAAAAAAGAATGTTTAAAAAAAATTAAATAAAAAAAAAATATTTATGATAGAATATAGTATTGTCATCAGTATAACATAAGTATACCAAGTTTGCAGTCCATACCACATTTGGAAGTGGGTTAAAATTGAGTTACAAGATTTGAGGATACAACAACATACTCTTTGGTTCTTTCGGTAAAGTCACGTAGGACTTTACCGAAAGAACCAAAGAGTATGGATCCCTGCAGTCATGAAACCTCCAAATCTAGATTTAACAACGACAACAACAACAGGCATAGCGAGTTAAATAAAAACGTGTCAAAAAAAGGATGTTCATACGAGGCAAATGAGATCTGTAATCGTCGATCAGCTCATGCTAACATCGGTAAATTGAGTGCACTTTGCAGGGCCGGCTGTGCCGGCTCGATTATAACAGCCTCGGAAACCTTCGGGTCCTGAGTGCGCCTAAACAAGGGGCTACACTTTGAAACTGCCTGACAAGCAGAAAACAGCCGTGGGGGCCACAGCACCCACGGTCGGAGCTGGCTTTGGGTGGGCGGCAAACACGGGTCCCTTCACAAAGCCCTCATTTCCACCCATCCGTCCAGTTGCAGCGCTGCGCATCGGTGGCTCTTATCGAGCTGGCAGCCAACAGACTGCAGCATCTGCAAAACGCGTGGCATTTTTTGCAGAGCGCTAAACGCCACGACATCAGTGCGGCTTCAAAGGCTCAGCTGGGATCCTCTTGAAACAAAAGTGGCCGCTCCATCAGCTGCTCCTTGTCTACAAGATCCCTCACAATGAGGCGCCTGATGTGGCCTTGCATAGCCTCCACGATTACTAAATCCATTTTGCACGGTGGTGGTGGTGGTGGCGCGGGAAGGGGGATGTTATACGGGGAGACATGGGGCTGCGGCACCCTGAAACCGAGCAAATTTTCCGCCTACTGTTCAGCTTTAAAAGTCCCTGAAATATGGAACTCTTCGAATATGGAACTCTTTGATGTGTATTCTTTGACGTGCTCTGTTGGCTGCATTGGTTGGCACAAATGGAATGCATTCTATCCAAAGCTAAATTTGAATTCAGAACCTCCCACGTTATGAGCCGTGAAGTGGTCCGCAATGATTGTTGCCGGCTGCGTGGCCTTCGCCAGCACGAACGGGGACACGCACGTGTTGGTTGTTAGTGATGGGAGTGTACCACCACCGTCTATGGAGGGGTGTTCTTGCATTGGAAAGGCCTCCTGTGTCTGTCGTCAAGAACTGCAGAATAGCTTTCCGTCGTGTTCAAGTAAATTATTGGCCCGAACATCATTGTGCTTTGTTTTATTGCACGTTTCGTCTGCACCTTGTGTCCCTCGCTGTGTTGTGTTGAAACTCGTGTCCTTAGGCCATGGTGACTTGGTAGAACTCTTTGTGTCGCCTCTTACACTGGATGCTAAGAGTTGGAAGAGGAGGCCAGTGTGTTCTTGGTGTCCGTGGCGAATTACCCTTCCTGTATATCATTCATCGTTAATGGTACACGTTCACCGAAATGTAGTTGGATCAAACAGAACCCCTTTGCAAACTTGCATTAATTTGGCTTTATCTTACTCATAGGGTTAGAACAATTCATCTCTCCCAGTGATTTAATATAGTTGAGCCACGATTTTTTCCGAGAATATAACCTTTTTTTCTGACTTTGTGAAGAAAGGATTGGCCTCTCGCTGTTGCAGGGTCACAAGAACCAGTTACACCATACACCAATAGAAACATTGATTCTTATGCAATGCGACTTGTGTGCCATGAGATTTGAGAACCGATATGAATCGATCAATCCAAGCATCTGTACACTCAAACTTTATAGTGTTTATGACTATCTTGCTCATAATAGAGTGTTTTAGTGAGATCGCATAAATATAAATGTGTCGTTAAACCCGTCACAACCCGACACATCCAATTAGTAAGGTTTGTTTCGTAGGCAAAACATGCCAATTCGTTATTCAGCACACCGGTGTGTTGGAGAGTAAACCCACAACATTTACAACTATCTTGCTGCAAACCACCTGACTATGGGTACTTAGCCAAAATATGAAGGTGTTTCTTCTCAGTGACTGCAGAAAACCAAGTTATTCATTTGAGTTATTATAACCAGCGTTTCCACGTATATGTCCACCGAAGCAGAAATTCTACTGTATTCCTCGTGAGATGTACGTACATTTTAAACTGTTTGCAAAAAAACCTTCGATTTAAACGTTTACATTTTTATACTTTGCCCTGGAGTAACATGACTGCAGTAGCCTAGCGATACAATATTTGTGTTTTGTTCGGGGCTGAAAGGCGCATGTTAAAACAGCGTTTTTGCTCTGCGACAGAAATTGTCATTGGACCATGGCAGTCCCAGACACACCCCGTACTGTGCCCAATCACGACCGATGTATGAGTGATTATTTACTTCCAAATCCCAGGCGCATGGTCGACTGTGCTGTGCTGTCGGCTTGTATAACTGCTGACGCAAAACATAGGTTTCCATGCCACATTTACTGCCATTTTTCGCTGCAATGGGCTCAACAGTTGATGAACAAAACTCTCTGCTCGTGAGAAGGTTGTGTGTATGTAGCTGAGCTTTATATGCGTCTGCTTAATTGCAAAACGCACCTGCGTTGCAAAACGGTGACGGATACACCCAGAGCAGCAGACAGGTTCTTCATGTGAATTTCCCAGCCCAATTCGGTGAGACGGAGCAGTGGGTTTCACCCTCACGCTGGTGCGTCCCATGTTTTTTGACGAGTGGCAGGGTTCTGTGGGTATGCATGTAATGACTCACTCCTCTCGGCAACATTGGTCAATTGCTACGAGTCGAGGTCGTAATTTGTGTTGCCTAATCAACATCTTTTTTAGTTTTTGCAATAATTTTTTGTATTGGTTCGAATAATTTCTGTTAAACCTGTGCAATTTCGTCTGCTCAATTATCCTAACTGTAAAACCTTATAATTTACATAAATCGTGAACAATTAATTCCCAAATGTGAAATTGATTGCCACGTATGGGATTTTAATGGATTAATTCATGCATCGTTCTGCGCCTATAGTTAGATCGATGTCGACGTTTGTAGTACGTCCCTCAGAGAGTGAAGTTTATAGGGACGGTCATTGGCATGATGAGGTGACTGGGTTAAATGCAAACCAGCAAGGTGTGTGGTTTCTGTTTAGAACAGGAGACCACCCTTTATGAGAAATGTTGGCTGGGAGTGGTGCATAAATTGCATTTATAACTCACCACCAACATCGATTGGGGGTTCTACTTACTCCACATCATCGCAGCTGAAAAATATGAAGTTTTTATGAATATGCTGTGCGAAAGCTTTTGGTTATTTTGCGTTTTAGCCAACACGCTTGGCGAAAGCTCTCCATTTCACCTTTCCGGCCACCCCTTGCTGGTATTCCCTTGTCTCGCCCCACCGGGAAGAGGCTGTAAGTGTTCTTGAGCTGGTTCATAATACACTTTATTGATGTTGCTTTAAGTGAAGCAAAAAAAAGCAGCCTGAATTGGTTACCACTTATAGATTTTTACCAGAGCACTTCAGCTTATAAGTAACTTGTCACAGTGTCAGCTTTTATGGAGCACAAACGTAGCTTGACTAACCGTAATGCCGCGATTGAGTTTCCCCCCGCATTCAGGGAATTGAAGGTGGAAAAGTTAACAACTGCGCCTTGTCACGGCCCTACGCGGTGTCAGCCGCGATGGTACCTCTCGATGTGGGCGAGCGTTTGAGGCAGAGCCACTGCTGCGTTGCAGTTGAAGTAGCAACGTTGATGCGATGGTTGGGTTTATTTAAATGTGGATGCACAGACGGTGCTGAGCGCAGGCGCGAAGGCCTACAACAGAAAGCAGCCAGTAACTTAGAGTGTCAATGGTGGTGTAACAGTTAAGAATGCACACATTTTTTACATTGAGCAAGTTTATTAGAACTTATTGAGGCAATTGGGGGGGAGATCCAAATAAATGCCTTGTCCTGCAATATAGTCGATGAACACAATGAGTCGATGAAATGAAAGGGCCATTCCAGCAGAACAAGTCATTGATGTTGGCAGATGTATTATGCCCTTACATTCAAGGGAACAACGACCGTGTTAGTGGCGATAAAAGAGTGACAGAGAAGCGACCAAACGCAGTAAGAGTGCCTACAGCAAATCAGTGAGTGTCAGATCCTCTTGTAGACGCTAAAAATTATTATAGCCGTGAATTAACCTTGGTGGTGCCGGTGCTGTGCGCCCTGCAGGAGATGAGCTCCGCGGGGAGAGGCTATCCGCGCATCGACTCCCTCACGGCGCTCATGCTGAAGCTAGCCCAGCTCGACCTGGAGGTGGGGGCCCCGCTGGGTCTGTCCGGGCCTTCCTCCTCGTCCTCGACGCCCACCAACACCCCCAAGCGCCGACACTGCTCCGTGAGTGCCGCTGACTCGCTCCCTGATGCGCGGGCGCCTGCCATCCTTTGCGGGCGCTTTTCGTCTCTGTCCCATCACATGGCCGCGCGCGGTTTACGGCCAGGGACCCTGTTCCGGCCGCGAACTTAATCGGGAGCAAAGTTCGTGGGATAGTTGCCGTACGGGTTTGCTGGCAAGGGATTATTTATTATTGCTAAAATATGCTCGGTTGACGGAGCGCTTTGTGACGTCCACTCGCTCGTTGAACCCTCTTGAGCCGCCAGTAATGTTTTGCCAACTTGAGGCATTATTGAGGCACCACAAGCAGAGAATATGCATGTGGATTTGGCTGAGGCCAAAGTGTTATTTATAAAAGATTAAAGTCTCCATAAACAAAAAAAGAGCATTGCGTTTATGAAGGGACACAAACCGCTTTGGCTCACATTGCTGGAAATGTTTCGACAGATTGCTTCACAAAAGCAGCTTTTTTAAATCCTTTATATTAAGTTCGCTTGCTTGCGTGCGTGCTTGCTTGCGACCGTGCAAATCTTTCGGTCGTTTTTTAACCCACTTCCCGTGATCCAATCGAGCTGACATTTTGCACACAGACTCGTTGTGCGAGACAATTAATGTTCATGAAAAAATTTTTCCAAAATGTTACAGTTTAGGGAAAACAAATTAAATATTTAATTACCAATTGCTTAATACTGACAATCATCTGACCCATAGGTGGCAGCCATCTCAAGCCAGAGGACGAGAGGACTCTAGCCGCCACGCATATAAAGGATTTATAGTGAAAAACTTTGTTTTTACGGGTTATACTTATTTTCCCTTTACATGTTTTCCTTTTTATGCATCTGAGTTATTTGCGTTTACTTTATCTGTAACATGTTGTTATGCTCTTGTAAAACCACTAGAGGTACTTTTATATTTTGACATTGCACTTAAATAAAGCTTTATATTAAACTTTCTCTTTAGGAAAGGACAGAAAAAACCTTGCACCTCGATGAGAGCAGATATATTCGGCTCACCTGCAGAGCGTTTGTAAGTTGCACTTTGAAGTTTAAAAGACATCTTCTTGGTTCTTTCGGTAAAGTCATGTAGAAGGGAAATAATAAAATAATAAAAATAAAACAGCGTGGTGGTGTTTCATTCAGACGCTGTCTTCCCGACAGACCTGGTCTTCACCTGAGGATGGCTGCTTGCGTTGTGGCCGAAACGTCGTGAGAATTATTTAATTGGTTTATTTTTATTATTTCCCTTCTACGTGACTTTACCGAAAGAACCAAGAAGATGAATCCCTGCAGTCACGAAAGCTTTAAATCGAAATTTAAAAGACACGTTGTTTTTTTTTCTGCTGCATCCGCGCCGACAGGTCGAGTCCGAAATAGACACAACGCTTACACCGGGGCCTCAGGGCGAGCGACAAGGCCTCCCTCCCGGTGGCGCTCCGGTGCCAATGCCGCCAACCGCGTCGCTCGCCGAAGCGTCAGGAGCCAGGCCCAAGGCGCCGGTAAGCCTCGTGGGTGACGTGACGGGACACCCCGTGGTAACCAGCTCGCAAAGATGAGATGGCGCCAGTTTTACCGACCGAACAGAACAGTCCTGCACGATAATTCGAGGATGGGATACGCTTGGGAAGTTCTTTGGCAGTTGGGGCAACTTGGTACGGCAGTGCCATTGAGTGACGGAGTTCTGTTTACCCAATGAAAACAGAATTTGTTGAAAAATCTGTTTGAGGAAAAATGATCGTGTGCAGAGCACACATCCTTGGGTAGTCCGGCGAGCTCTGTCTGTGTTCTGATTGGAAGTTGTCATCCCAACTATTCACTAAGGGGAGCAGCGACCAGTTTGTCCAGATTTGAATGACTACATTTTTCACTTTAGAAAATGGTACAGCATCTGTTGCCGACATTGATTCCCAGAAAATTGCTTGAGTGTATCGTGGCTTTAACGGACGGGCAGGCATTTCTCTGGTGACCAGCGTGGCACAATACATTCATTCACACCGTGGGCACAGTGCGTAGGTGGCGTTATTTTATTTTTGGTGATTTCCACGGTGGAAAGAATTTGTTGTTGAAGCAATTACACTTCTACCTTCAGTTTTCCAAAATAGTCTGGAAATGTAAAATATGCTGTTCCATCGTTTCATTTGCATGAGTGGCATATTTCCTCATTGACGACATGTCAACACCGTTCCTCTATTGTGGAAAGATTACGAACAATAAGCTGACCGAATAACAATGGGCACATGTTTATTTTCTGACCGTGAAACTTTAGTGGGAGCCCGTTAATGCAAAACAGAACTTGTCAAACATTTACGATGGCGTTTAAAATTATAACTGGTTCTCTAGCACGTCAGAGCCTGTACATGCATCTGAGATGTTACATAAATGCAAACAGCAAAATGCAAATTTTCACGTAAATTAGCAATAAACGTCTGTTGAGATTCAGAAGAATGTTGTGGACAGCGGCAATCTTAGAGTTTTCAAGTTTTACGACGGGAACTAATGATAGAGCCTCAGCCACCAAATATCTGTGGTTGTATCATTGACATACTGATCTGATTTAAAGGAATGTGGAATTTTCCATAATTGCCTCAGGATGACCTAGATAAATATTCCATGCTTATTAAAGCTTACAGATGCTTAATATGTATGTTAACGAATCAGAAATTTAGAACAAAGCATGGTGGCACTCACCTGCACCTAGTTTCACAAATCTACGTGATCGACTGAAACATTTTGTGAAATTATAAAACCCTCCTCGGCCTGCCAGGTGGCCGTTATATGGCAATACAGCAAGTAGTGCGTGACCTATCCTTGCAGATTTCTAAGCGTTATCCTGTCACATGCATGGGTTTTTTTTTTCTGGTCACTCCAATTTACATGCACACACAAAGCACTCCTTAAAATGGATTTGGCCAAACATGCCAGTTGCAGTCGCCTTCTGAAAAAAAGTCTTGAGACTCAGTTAGTCTTTCCTGGGCAAATCACATGAGAGGAAATACAGAGGGGGTGGGGGGGGGGGGGGGTGGAGTGATGGCTCAATAATTAGCGCAATGCACAATAAAACTATCCATCTGAGAGTGATTCCAGGCTACGGCTAATGAGTCGTGAGAGACATCTGAACTGGTCATGAGACTGCCCCCCCCCCACCAACCCTTCACTAATCTGCCCTGACCAGCGTGGTAAAGTACGGTCAACCAACCGCTACGACCAACACGGCATCGATAGGCCTTCATCCAACAAATGGATTGGCGATGTGGCCGTGAAATTTATTACAAATGCTTTTCATGATTTAATCCACACTCCTGTTTCATCAGGGGTGCCTCCCTCCCCCTATCACCACCTCTGGGTCCTCCCAGCACCCACGAATATGTGCCCACAGGCGAGAGAGCCGCTGGCAGAGGAGCGATTATTTCATTGCGGCAGTGGTGGCAGTGGCGGCGGCGGCCGCAGCATAGCGGCGATGCTTGTGTCCGGCGCGGTGGGCGGCCGCGCTTGGTTCGCTGGCGCGGAATGAAGCGTGGCGTGCGGGGGACACGCTCGCTTTGTTGCCACACAAGTGCCGCCTTTTGTTGTGTGCAGCCAGCAATTGGAACCTTTTAGAAAAAAAATAAAGGAGAAAAAAAGTCGGCGGCGGAGGGGGGTGGGCAAAGTCAGCCGCTCGCGCTCGCTCCTCACTTTGACGTGCCCGGGGAATGGAGAGGAATTGGTTTCATGCAGCGGGGGACAGAGGAGGGAGGGAGGCGAGCCGGCTTGCAGGAGTGCGGGTTAGAGTGGCAGTAAGCCTGCCCAGCCACCCGTGTAATCTAATTGATCCTGCCTTTGTCCCTAGCAGTCCCTGGCCTCCGTGTGTTTGGCCTGCAGCCGCATAACCTGGCGAATTGGCGGCCGTGCCGTTTGACACACGTGCCTCTGCTTTTTCTTTTTGGAAAACCCATGCCCCCCCCCCATCCCGCAACTCTGTGTGCATAACCCTACCTCCCACCGGCCGACCCCCGCGGCGGGCGACAACCACATCCCCCCCCACCAGCAACACTCGGACGAACACACGTGCGGCGGCGTGCGGTGGCAGCCGTGGAGCCTTTCAAAAAACGGCCTGGCCATTCTTGGGCTCTTTTTAAAGCAAATACTGAACTGACAGCCCATTACTTTGACTTCGAGTGCCACTCATTCCCATTAAATGTGTGGGCGAGACACAGCGCGTTGATACTTTTTTTGTTTTGTTATAAAGTATTCATTCTGCACACAGTGACGGAGAGTCCCGCTTTAGACTTGCGAACCCTGTCAGGTCAAGTGTCGTTCGTGAGCCCCTATTAAGGATTTTAACGGCGCACGAGGGGCTTGTTGTGCTAAGTGCTGTTCGCGAGCATCTATTCATGCTGGAATGGCACATGAAGAGGTGGTGTGTCCAGCACCATACCCGCTACCGTTGTCTCCTCTGTGCTGATGTTCTTACACACTGCACCAGGAACGTATTTCAGGCTGGGTCAGCCAATATGAGGAATTTTTTTATACATGCATATACAAAACAAAGTTCCCCCACATAGCCTTAATAGACTGTTGAGGCAAGTGCTGTCAGCGAGAAGCACCTATGAAGGCTGGCACGGCACCGAGGGGGTGGGTGACCAGAACCACACACAGAACCATACACATCATACCCAAACTCTTTGTTATATCGTCTAAATTAATTACCTGTCTTTGTGGAATAGGTGAGGTTATGAAAGTGATGTTAGCAAGCACTTGTCATGAGAAAGTAATTACAGCCTAATCTTCGTTCTCTCATCGAGAACCAATCACAACCCATTATTGGTCACATGGTACTTCAGGAGCTGACACAGTTTGTACTTGAAAGAAGTGAAGGAAAATAAATCGCGTCAGGGTTAAACAAAAAAAATATATAACTGGGTTATATAACTGGGTTATATTTCTTTAATAATTACACTCCCAAAGATCAACGCTTGAAGAGCGCCCGAACGCAAAAGGCCGCCGTGTTGTCATCAGCGTCTCCATGCGCAGCGTGGAAACACCACGCAGGCCCAATTCATTTTGAGCTGATCGTACCGCACGTTAACCGCTGTAGCATTGGTTGTACATTCCAGAATACACGGGTGATTTTCAGTGATCTTTGTTTTTTTGCTACATTTTATATCTTACTAATGTAATAAAAGCAACATAAATGCAATGTTCAGCTCAAAATGTGCAATAATTCGGTCTTTGTAGAAATATGAATATAACGGGGCACCCCTAACCCCTGAGTTTTCCCCATTGTCTCGAGGACTCTGTAGAGGGCATGGCTTTTTTTGTCCGGTCAGCGTGAAGCGGCGATTACAGCCCCTCACTCCGATTCGTTGAGTGAGGCATTTTGAGAGGGGCCTCCTCAACCGGGCCTCCTCAGCCAGGTGCGAGCATGTCTTTAATAAATAAATATATATCATTTTCTATTCTAGTTCTACGTAATTCCTTTGCGTGTTTTTCCACCCTTCATTTCACTGAGCGTTGATTGTAGAACCACTGGGACCAATGCTTTAGTTGAGGTTCATTAGCGGTAAAAGCGTGCATTATGGTATGGAATGCGTAGTATTTGACATTACAATGGGCTGCAATTACAACTCTTGAACACAGTTCACCAGTCAGTGCAGGGGGCAGAGGGTTGCCGGTGGAGGGGAGCTGAATGAAAGGAGTGAGGGGGTGTGAACGGGTAATGAGGCACTCGTATTTATCCAAAGGGCTAATGTGAAGAAAAGTTTCTATTTTTACAAAATCAAAATTGCTTTTTTCCGACCGCTTCATTTTTTGGAAAATATGACTCGACTCGAGAAAAGTGTTTTTTTTTTACGAATGAAACGGCTTCCCTGAATTTTTGAAGATGAGTGATTGTAGAGTAGTTGCTCGTTGAGTGGTTTTAGGGCATTCGCTAAAAACTATGTTCCACAACATGCTCCGGCATGAAGGACTCAAACGAGTATGTGTCTGTCTGTGTTTGTCTCGGTGTCTAAACAAAAAAGAACTATTTAAACTATTTTTATTTTACCAGATAAGGCCCACTGAGCGATATAACTACTTTTCAGAAGCGACCTGGTTACAAATACTAGCTCAACGAAGTAGCTTATTACATGGAAATTTAAAGCAGCCAAATCCTCTAAACGCATGTTTTTAAATGTGGAGGGAAACACCGAAGGACCCAGAGAAAAACCCACGTGACCACGGGGGAGAACATGCAAACTCCAAATATACAGCCATCAGAGTCAGGATCGAACCCACGACCTCCTGTATCCCAGGTGAGGTAGATAACATCTCCCCACCGCAGCATCTACCCGTGTTCCCACTCATTTGTCTCCTTCATCGGCTGCATGCTGTTTTTCAAAGGCCAATGTATCGTGTAGGAATTTACGTATGAAGATTTCCATGCTACTATATTAAATGTAAATCTTATATTGGTAATATAACAGACTAATATTACAATGCATCTATTAAAATACTGTAGTTTATTATCATCACGATACAT